GGTCACTTAGTGATCCACACCCGTGCCGCCACGGGTCACTTTGCCGTCCTGGGTCACGATTAGGACCCCTCGGCCACCACGAACCACCCTGAGCCACCCTAATACACCCCGTGTTGCCACTCCCATACGGTGCCAATGTCGAGAGTAACTTCCTCATTTGTCGATCTTAGTATTCGGCGCTCGAATCAAAACAACGGTGACATTTGTTTGCCCAGTAAAACCTCAATGCGGAGTGTCAGATCACCTTTTCAGAAGGGTTATGCGACACAGCGATCTTTTTAAGATTCATTGAATGAGTGTTTGCCTTTCATGGGAGAAAACGGGAGAAAGTTCCGTACAGATAGATTCAAGAAGCCATTTCTGCACTACCACAAACTGGCCACCTATCATCCCAAGCCAACATCTGGTATTCTCCGGTAGTCTCCCATACATGCACGGAGCATACCACAGCATACTTAGCTTTCGAGATCCGACGAGAGAGTGGGAGTCATCTGACATTTTATAAATAACATAAAACTGACATTCCATTCAGGCGCACATACATGGTGTTAGCGAGCACCCATGAAGGCCGGCACGGCACACGAGTGGGTGGCCAACACCACGCCCGGCCGCCTTTGTCTCCCCAATGGTGATGTTTACACACTACACCAGGTACTCATTTGAGGCTGAGTCGACCTAGGGGAGGCCCATGACCGGTTCAGATAATCGTCGCTGGTGTTGGTGGCCGTGAACGGGAATCGAACTCAGGTCGCCGGATTCGTAGCACAGCGCGCTAACCGCTACGCCACCGCTCCCCCACACACAGGCACACACCCCCACGCGAAAACAAGGACACGCACTCAAAGACCGACACACGCGCTAAGTGAGGTCACCATAGGAGGTATAGGGTACCATCACCCATTGTGAATACCGCGACCCTCACGCTCTGTAGCTCGGGGCGCCAGAACAAAGGGGCATTTGGGATACTCACCGATCGTAATTAAAGGTCGTGATTGCCCACCAGATACAAAGTTCAAAAACAATGCAGTACTGTATAGACGATATAAAGTTCACTAACACAAACTAATTCATCCGCTTTACTCAATCATTCATCTACTCACCAATCCATTCATTATTCCTCACCCACCCACTCATTCGCTCTTTTATTTAACTCAACACCATCTATTATTGATAACGCGCCTTCCACCCAATGCATGTCGGGACGCCAGCTTAAAGGGACATTTGGGATAATAACTCTGTGAGAGCAGAGCCAAAATAAAAGTTAATAAACAATGCAGCATAGGCAATTTACACAAAACACCAGCATGAAAAATGCTCATACCGGGTTTCTTTTATTATCTTAAATGCTTCGAACAAAGGGGCTCTATGAATATCACGTAACATTTCGGATAACGGACCATTGAATGGAACAGAAGGGTTGACAGGAGTTGCTTAGAACAATGTTTTAGGGCCGATCATGGGGGGGGGGGGGGGGGGGGGGGGGGGGCTGGGTTTGAGGCTCGGGGCAAACCCCAGTGTGTGGGCCCCCCGACGCCTTCAAACTAAACTGGTAGTTATTACTTCTGATACCGTGACGTTGAAACGCGAGCCACCCCGCCTCCCCCCAAAGCGCGGGGCCCGGGACTGTCGCGCCGATTCGCCGTAACCTAGGAACGGCTCTGTACACATGGCTAATACACAACTAGAACTATGTACAATGGAAATCTAGCGAGCGATCAAAATACTGTGAATACGTTAAGCATGCCACTAGTGAGAGGAACTCGCACATGCCATGTGCAATGGCATTTTAAACACAGCATCAAAGGGGAAATGGGAAGTTCTGCAAAGCCGCCATTCACTCGCCCACTCACTCCTACACCCACCCACTCACCTACTCACTCACCCACCAACTCACTCACTCACCAACTCACTCACTCACCCACTAACTCACCCACCCACTCGCCCACTTACTCATACACCCACTCACTCACCTACCCGCTCACCCACCCAAAAAAATACTCGGTCGGAATGCGCCCGAACTCGACAGATCCGGGAAGCCAAGCAGGGTTGAGCCAGGATGATGCGCGGATGGGTGTTGAGCGCCGTGCACAATAAGATGGGCACAGCAGTGTGCGATGATGTGGGCAGCAGTGTGCGATGATGTGGGCAGCAGAGGGCAGCGCAGTAAACCCCCTGTCCCATATCTTTATCAACAATAGTGATGGGGGGACATGGTGCGGCCTATGGCGTGTGGGGGGGGGGGGGGTGTTTATTTGATCCATCAGCTGGATTGACACCAGCGCTTTGTGTGGTTGTTGTTACCCTCATCTCAGCCAGCTGACCCCATTGCACCCTGGGTCTGTCCCGTGACCTCGTGCCAGCGGGCGTTCGACACTCCACGCGTGTGGCACTTAAAAGTGCACCTGGCCAGGCACCACAAGCGTCGTGGTGACGTCTCAGCCACTTAGTGGTGAATGGCAGGTTGTTTTTTTACCCAAAAAGCCCGGAGCGGTGCGGTATAAACTACACACACTCACGTGGTTGCTTTTGATTGACGCGTAACAGCAAAGTTGGTTGGTGGCAGGATACGGGAATGAAACACCTCAAAGTTTGTACACTTCTCATAAGGCTAGCAACAGCAGCCAGCAACAGCAGCCAGCAGTAGATTGGCAGTCTTCGGGCGTGGTGACGCCGAGTGGAACGCTCGCGTCTGGTGAAAGAAGAAGCCGTTAACACAAATAATAGCAGCAATATAAGCAGCAGGGGCAGTGTGGGGAGATGAGAGTCAATAACACACACTTTAGAGGACTCTCTACTGCAGTTCGCCCCGCGCAGGTACCTAGGTGGATTCGTGGAATGGTTGCGATTTTTGTTGTTTTTCTGTTGTTGTTGTTGTTGCCCGGCGGCTGCTTTCATCCAGCAGTGGAATGAACATGGCTGACGATTGCACCGCATAAAACAACAACGCACGCGTGGACGTCGCGATGTACGTGGGCGAATCGAGACGCGAGGAAGACGTTACCCTCAACCCGCGCCTCGATCCCCAATTCTACCCATTGACCCATTGACCTCCGACCACCAACGCCAACTCTCTGAGCCTCTAAAATCCCTCGCCCGTCTCCCCGAGCCCTCGACAACCCCCGTCGCTTTGCGGTGTCCCGAGAGACGCGCTGCCATCACGAATGACCAGTGGTTTACGGGTACACACCCACACCCACACACAGAGCCACCGCACACACACACACAGAGCCACCCCACACACACAGAGCCACCACACACACACACAGAGCCACCACACACACACACAGAGCCACCACACACACACACAGAGCCACCACACACACACACAGAGCCACCACACACACACACAGAGCCATCGCACACACACACACAGAGCCACCACACACACACACAGAGCCACCACACACACACAGAGCCACCACACACACACATAGAGCCACCACACACACACAGAGCCACCACACACACACACAGAGCCACCACACACACAGAGCCATCGCACACACACACACACAGAGCCACCACACACACACACAGAGCCACCATACACACACAGAGCCACCACACACACACAGAGCCACCGCACACACACAGAGCCACCACACACACACAGCGCCACCACGCACACACACACAGATCCACCACACACACACACAGAGCTACCACACACACACAGAGCCACCACACACACACACAGAGCCACCACACACACACAGAGCCACCACACACACACACAGAGCCACCACACACAGCCACCCCACACACACACACAGAGCCACCCCACACACACACAGAGCCACCACACACACGCAGAGCCACCACACACACAGAGCCACCACACACACACACACAGAGCCACCCCACACACACACAGAGCCACCACCGCTTTAGACACTTTTGGGGGGGGGGGGGGCTTTCCTATGTTGCTCGCAATAAATCACACAAGATGAACAAAGATGAACAACAATGATGGCGCCGAAGGTAACCTTGGCTGGGAGTCGAACCCTCTCAACCTTTTACTTCCTCCTCGTTGGCTGGCACCGTGCCAAGTTCCCCATCGCCCGCTTTTGCGCGCCGTAAAACATCGTGGCGGTATAAATAGCACGCGTACTGTACCCGACCCCCCGTGCACTGTGTGCTTCATCTTCTTCTTCTTCACAAAACGACTTGAAACACAGAAAAAGGAGCCGTGTCCTTAAATAGGAAAATGTGTATATATTATAGGCGACGTTTCGGGCAACGGTCCGTCCGTCTTCAGAGAACATTCTCTGCTATGTTTACACGCCGCACCGAGTGTTCCACAAATGGCCGAGGCGAACCCCATTTACGCACTGAGACCCCCCCCCAGCAGCAGTTCTGGCCCAGGACTGGTTCAGATATCCCTTGCCCATTGATCCAGCTCGCCGTGGTAAGGGGGAATCGAACTCGGGTCGCCCCCATCAACGCAGGCAACGCACGCACAGGCGCGCGTGGCACACAAGGAACACACACAAAACAAGATCAAAGTTCCCCTGTGTAGCCCTGCACACTGTTGGGGAAAGTTCTGTTCGTGAGCACCTATGAAGGTCGACACGGCACACAAGGGGGCTGGGGCAGCACCACGCACGGCCGCCTTTGTCTCCCCGGTGCTGATATTTACACACCGGACCAGATTACTACTAGTTTTTTGGCCGAGTCGATCTATGGGGAGGCCCACTACCGACCGGCTCATGTTTATTGGTCGCGGGCGAGAATCGAACTCGGGTTGCCGGGTTCGTAGAGCTGTACGCTATCCACTACACGACCGCTCTAGGTCCTGGGTCTCCCATAGGTTGACTCAGCCTTAAATGAGTACCGTATCTACATTAATTGCGGTGTGTATGCTTTAGAAATGCAGGAGAGAAAGGTGGCCGGGAGTGGTGCTGGGCGCACCCGCCCTCTCGTGTGCCATGCCGGCCTTCACAGGCGCTCACTAACAGCACACGTGGACACGCACACAAAGAGGGCATTTACACGAAACGTCGTATATTGTACATGTTTAATAATGTGTCCAGTGTTTTTGACATTTGTGTTTTTGCACCACTGGCAACGAAGCAGCAGCAGCAGCTCATTTGTATCTGGTCAAAGTTTTATTGACCTTGGGCCAGGTTCAGGATAAGCCCAGTCCGTTCTTGACCCTTCCGGACAAACGTTGCAGGGTAAGTTCCGCGACTGTCGGAGACAATGCAACGACGTATTACGACGTAGAGTTTTAATGCAAATATGACAGTTTTGAGTTGAACAGGGAGAGAGGTCTGTCGCCGTTTAGGTAAACCGGAGTAACGCCTTCCAATCACATCATTAGCTGGCGGCAAGCGTGGAGCGTTTCACAGGCCAGATGTTGCTGACAACACCCAGAACATGTCAAAGCTAGACGAGATTAACTATTGGCACCTTGACGCAGAGGAGTGGATATGTTGGTTTTTTGTTGCGTTAGTGTATCTTTTCGCACCTCCTACTATCACGGCGCGAATATAATTTCAACAGACATACTGTACACACATAACCACGTACACACGTATTAAATAGTGAATGAGGCCTGCAGACATCTGCGAAGGGATGCGAGCCGAATAACTTAAACATCAAGCGAGTGTCCACCGCGAGGGCACAACAATGAATCAGCTTATAGACAGCGTGGACAGAGACGACCTGAAGCGGGGAGGTGCCCCCCCCCCCCCGCCTCCTCCTGCCCAATAGCGAGGGTTTCCCAACTTCAACAGCTCACCAGCCCGCACCACGGAATGTCAGACGCTCCGAGTTCACCAATCTAGTGCAAATCCGTACGAAACGAGCAGCACAGCCGAGGTCGTCACACGCGGCTCGCGCCTGATGTTTGCAACAAAAAGGCGCGGGCCCTCGCGCGCCGTGCAGGCCGCGCGGAAGACATCCAATCGGGCACTCGCTGCCTCACTGCGCGCCAAGCTAAAAGGCAAAGATCACCCGAATGGAATTTTAACAGACTGTTAGGGGCAAGTGCTGTCAGCGAGCACCTAATAAGGCCGGCGCTGCACAAGCTGGTGGTGGTGTGGCCGGCACCGTGCCCGGACGCCTTCGGCTCCCCAACGATGGTCGCTTACACCGGACGCAGGACATGGGGGGGGGGGGGGTCCGTAGTGCAGTGCGCCAACCACTGTGCCACCACTACCACAACGCACGCACAAGGCATCCGTCTCTCTTAATTCTAATTGGTGCTCTCTACGCCACATGGGGACGAGTTTAGCAATCATCAGTCGCGCGCAGCATACAACGACTTAATTAGCATTTCCGTTCCACAGTTGTCCCTCTCGTTGTTGCCGAGCAGTCGGCCACAGTTACTCAAATTTAATTTGACCACTACCTACGTTAGACACCAGAGGACTACGCCGTAGCTTTTGAGGAACTGTCGATGGTTTTTGCACAGTGCGCAAAGGCCGCATTCACTGCGTGTTTGTTTGAAATGTACGGGTATGTCCACGGCGTGATGTCACAGCACGCAGGCAGAGAGGCCGAGTGCATCTCCAGGGAGCCGGACGGACGAGAGCTGGAATGGCAGCCGAGAGGAACAACCCTGGACGGCCACAACAACCAACTCCTCATTCGAGACCCAAACATCACAACCTCCTGGATTCGACATTCCTCCTCCTTTAAAGAAGAAGACACCGGTGGTGGAACCATCATCCACATCAGAACATCACCAGCAGGCCGATGCGCACATCTCCTCCATGAATGCAACATTAAAGACGCAGCCGAGCGATTGTGGCCATGCAACCCACGCTATGGACGGTGCAGTAAACCCACTGTGGTCCGCGCTCCTTCAACGGATTTAGGAGGAGATACATTGAAACGACACCACACGAACTCTCTCTCTGCTGAAGTCATCTCGTCACTGCCAGCAGCAGAAAGACCTCGACTTTGGCATCGAGCTCCTAAACCACAACATCGCTGCTGCTGCCATCATCACAATGCAATGATGGAGCCGCAATGTTAACAACAAGACAGTAAATAATCGATTATGGAATCTAATCGCTCCCCGGCCCCAACCAGCCTCATCAGGACAAATAATCGAATCGCGTTGAGCGAGGATTGTTGTCCGTCTACAAGCGAATGCGATAGCGTAGCTACGGTTAAAGTATGTACTGTACACGGTTACCATTTTATGTAGCTTGGCAAATATCCTTGAACGGTCATCTTTCAGAGCCCGATCCCCTTATTTGCCCCTATGTTTTTTTTTACATACATTCAATGATAAAAAAAAAACCAGTAAAATAATGTCGCCAGAGCGTCACGAGTCTCAGGGCCGCATTCTCAGGAGGGTTCTGCCACACTCGAATGATTGTCCGGTTCTCGCATTAGAAAACCCATCGTGGTGCAGCTTGCGAGGGTTTCACCGGAGGAGAGAACGAGGAGGCGCAGCTCCGTAGTCGAGAGCAAAAATGGGGTCCTCCAGCAACCCGCATGCTCGACTGCCATCGTCACCTGGTGTACGGGGGTTGCCACCTCTTGGGGGTGAGGGGGAAGAAGAATATCTCACAGCTCCTCTGCAGGAGGGGAGCGCCGCGTAGATGGAGACGCCATCCTGGCCGAAGTAATCGTGGAGGCACGGCCACAACGCTCCCCCTCCTTCCGCCAGATATTCCACAGCTAGCTGGCGCACAGCGGTGACACGAACGGCGACCTCCGTGACCTGGCCCAGCTGTGTCCACCGTCTCTTCTGAGCTCTTCGCTTCCCCTTGGCCGCCGGACTCATGCCCTTGCGTGGTGCGTCATCGTTCTCACATTATTGATGTTATTACGCAACTGACAAACACCGGGTCGTGCCATTTCCCGGAAAGGCTGACCGAGCTCCCAGGGGACAGGCGGCAACCCGACTACTTAAGCAACAAACTGCAGGCGTCCGCTACAGCTCCATCAGCTGCTCCGGCAAGATGCCGTCGATGTTCATCAGCTCGTTGTAGTTGATGTGTAGACGGCCCTCCTGCAGCTCCCTGAGGACATTGTCAGCCATGTGGTCGTCGTCCGCCGTGAGGGGCAGAACGTCCTCGAGCAGCGCGAGGTCCATCGCGGCGCGAGCGGCCTCCTCCTCCACCGCCACCTCCGTGGACGGCACCAGCATGGCCACGCCGGCGGGAGCCGGGTCGAACGTGAGCCGCAAGGTCGCGAGGTCACCCGCCAGCACGGCGCTCACGGGGCCCGTGTTCTGGGCGAAGATCTCCTCCATCTGTGCCACCTGGTCGTCCGTGAAGGGGGCCTCCGGCGCCTGGGCCGCCTGCAGAATGCGTCCCTGGGACATGGTGACGTTGAGGATGGTGTTGGTGGACGTCACAATGCAGCCCGGGCTGACGTTCAGATCCGGTGGGCTCGGAGTTGAGATCGGGGGGCTCGGGGTGGCCGGGGAGGTGGCGATGACGCTGCCGGCTCTGCGCGGATTCAAGCCTCGCGAGGAACTGAGTCTCTTGGAGTACCGCGTTGCGGGCGTGGAGGGCTTCATGGGAGCGGCGATGGGGGCCGTCGGGGCGGGGGGCCCCGATGCACCTTCATGCAACGACACGACATCCACAGTTCTTACTCTTGCAGTTACATACAAAGATCCACCGTATAGCCTCTATCAGACTGCTGGGGCAAGTGCTGTTAGCGAGCACCTATTAAGGCCGGCATGGCACATGAGGGGGTGGGTGGCCAACACCATGCCCGGCCGCCTTTGTCTCCCTAGTGGCGATGTTTACACACTGCACTAGGTACTAATTTAAGGCTGAGTCAACCTAGGGGAGGCCCAGGACTGGTTCAGGTAGTCGTCACTGGTGTTGGCCATGAGCGGGAATCGAACTTGGGTCGCCGGGTTAGTAGCGCAGCGCGCTAACCGCTACACTACTGCTCTCCACAAGTTATATACACACGCGCACGAACACGCATACACACAAACGTACCCACAAACATACGTGTGTACACACACACACGCATACATACACACAAATGTACACACACGCGTACACAAGAGTGGGTGAGGGGGTACACGGGGGTGAGGGGGTACGCGTGGGTGTGGGGGGTACGCGGTGGTACCTGCGTGCATCGCTCCGGAGTTCACAAACTCTTGCAGCTGGTAAGGCGTCTGTTTTCGTTTGCGCTCAACTCCAAAAGCGTCTGTAGTGGGAAGAACAGAAGCCAATCATTTTCTCTCTTTTTAAAATGTATTAATTAATTCCTTGGGCAACGGATAAGTGTTTATCTTCTTTGGTTCTTTCGGTTAAGTCACGTAGAATGAGAATAAAATAATAAAATAACACAATAAAATTCTCACGACGTTTCGGCCACAACGCAAGCGGCCGTCTTCAGGTGAAAGGTACAGACCTGTCGGGACGACAGAGCTTCAATATTCTCATTCTACGTGACTTTACCGAAAGAACCAAAGAAGATGAATCCTTGCAGTCAGGAAAAGTGTTTGTTTGTACACAACATCAGGCTCGGCTGTTGTGAACCTTCTAGGAAGCGCCGTCGCGAACAGAGAGGGACAGAGAGGGCGCTACCTCGGCGCAGTCCACGCCATGTGGGGCACACAGATCGCACGCGGCGACGAGGTGGGTTGCGACGAGGTGGGTTGTGACGAGGTGGGCGATGGTGAGGGAGGTGGTGGCGAGGTGGGCGATGGTGAGGAAGGTGGTGACGAGGTGGGCGATGGTGAGGGAGGTAGTGATGAGGTGGGTGGTGACGAGGTGGGTGACGAAATGGTCACCGCGCGGATCTAAAATCAACGCGGAAAAAATACAAATGGTGATCGCAGAGTCGCGCACCGTCCAGCTCGGGCTTGTACAGGAAGCTGTGCGGGATGCTCTGCTGCTGATCCGAGGGGCGCCACAGGTGGATGGAGACCTTGACTGGGGCGCAGATGCTCTGGTCGTGGAAGGCTGGCGTCTTGAAGACGATGGCCACCTGCTTGTGGACGTCGCCCGTCGAGAAGATGCCCTCGGCCTGCCAGCCGGCCAGCGAGAAGACCACCCGGATGTCATCTGTGCGGCGATGGCGGGGTCGTGGATGGGAGTGGAGGGGGCCGATGGGGGAGTGGGGGGAGGGGGACAGGGGAGTTGGGGGGAGAAAGAGGGTAAGGGAATGGCTGGGACTGTTTTGAGGTTCGCTGTAGCTGAGCACAGTAGGCCCAAAGCGCCCAGCAACAACCAGCACTGTTGTAATAGATAAGGGGGTGTAAGAACACGTTTGCTGATTTGAGCGAGGTTACCGTTGTAAGAGTCGAGGGGGGGGGGGGGTAAAGAAACGATGATGGAGGAACATTCCGAAGTGGAGCGGTGCATGGGAAGCAAGAAGAGAAGTGAGGTGACCTGCAATGTGGTGAGTGAGTGTGTGGGTGAGTGCGTCAGTGAGTGTGTGGGTGAGTGTGTGACTATGTGGGTGAGTGTGTGACCGAGTGTGTGGGTGAGTGCGTCAGTGAGTGTGTGGATGAGTGCGTGAGTGTGTGGGTGAGTGCGTCAGTGAGTGCGTGGGCGAGTGTGGTCGAACGTAGTATGGGATGAGACGAGACGGGCAGTGTGGTGCAGCAGTCCCCAATGCACTCTTGATCTCCATGCCTCCTCCTCACCACATCTCCTCACCGGGTTCCAATTCCTCACCTTTCTGAACCTTCTCGCAGAACAGCATCACCTCGTCTCCTCCGTGCACGCTGCCGTAAGTTTTGTTCATGCGCGTGATCTTTAGTTGAGACGCGCACGTCGCTTCTACGGGGGGAGTCGAGGGTGAGATGCGGGTACACGTGGGTGAGACGTGGGCGAGACGCGGGTACACGCGGGTGAGACGCAGGGTTAGGTGTGGGTGAGGCCCTCACTCTTGTCGAAGATGATCTCGGAGAGGACCGGGGTCAGAATCTGGTTGCTGGGCAGCAGCTTTGCCTGGAAGCAGAGCCTCACGGCCGTGAGGTCCATCTCCTCGGGACGCACCACCACCCGATCCGACACTGCGGAGGGGGGTGTGCGGGCAGAATGAATGGGAGAATGAGTGGGTGCATGAATTAGTAAAGTGTGTGAAAGAATGAGTGAATGCATGAGTGGATGGGCGAATTCATGAGTGGGTGGTGAATGAATGGGTGGGTGAATTAGTGAATGAATGAGTGGATCAACGAATGAATGAGAGAGTAATGATGATCACCTTTGAAGGGGTTAATTTTTCTGATCTTATCTTCAGCCGAGCGCTGCACCATCGACTTCTTCACGCATTGAATCCCAACGTTGATAAGCCTGGACCGGCACCACATCATCACCATTATCATCATCACCAGCATCATAATCACCATAATTAGTATAATCATAATAACCGTCATTAGCATAATCATCTTTAGCATAATCATCATCAAATACTACCATAATCATTAGAATCATCATCACGTGTGGATAACATTACTGTGCTTGCAGGGATGTTCATGGTGAAGATGATGGTGTTGATCACGGTGGTCATGATATTGATGGTGATGCTGGTAATGTTGATGATGCTTATGATGGTGGTGGTTATGGTGATGACAACGCTGATTGTGGCGATGATGATGTTGGCGTTTGCTGGTGACACTAGTGACGATAATGCTGATGGTGGGGGGATGATGATGATGATGATGTTGACTCACTGCACGGTCGAGCAGCCCTGGACCACGAGCTGCTTGAAGATGCCATCTTCGCAATCGCGGCCCACGAGGCTGTAGGGGTGCGGCCGGTGGGGAGCGTCGCGTGTCACCAGGCACACTTGCACCTCGGCCTTGCCCGTCAAGTTCACTAGCTGCCATCAACCACCACCAACATCAGTGTCATCACATCATGATCATTACAAAATCATGCGCACACACGAATAAGTACAAAAACGATGATCGTCATCATCGCAACATCATCACAACATCACGACATCATCATCACTGCAACATCGTCACTTAAGATTGCTTTCCTTCCCCGCACCTCCGATTAGCACGGTTGGCTCCGTACGGTGCGAAAGAAGTTCAACATCACGACAATATCATCACTACAATATCATCTAATGATCCGATGACGCGATGATGATTAGATCGCGTGGCCACCACCTCACTGCCTCACCCTCGTGACAACCCCCAGGCGTGCACACCCCCGCGTGTCCGTACCCGCACGCTGGGGTAGGTTTTGTCGCGGTCCGTAGTGCTGGCCCCGAGCAGGGAGCCCGCGCACGCGCCCTCGGACGGGTAGCGGAACCTCATGCCCCGTGCCTCGGGCTGCTCGACCACCTCCAGGAAGGGGGCGGCAGGGCCGCGACCTGGGGGAGGGTTGTGGAGGGGAGAGGTCGGTGAGATGTGGGGGGGGGGCGGGGTTGGGTGGGGACCCCCGCTATCCACGCATGGTTGAGGTTGGGGGGGCACGTACGTCCACGATTCCTCTGAGAGCGCCGTATAGCGTGGAAGCTCTACACGCGATCACAAAGGTACCCCCCGCATATCCTCAACAGTGCTTTGAGGCAAGTGTGGTGGGAGCGAGCAGCAGCAGCGACTCTGTGTCACACTCAACTTATAGGCAGGGCTACATTTCAGCCAGAGCTGTCCTGGGCTGAGCTTCGGAAAATATCCCCCATGGAGATTTGGTAGTACGCACCGTGGACATACAGCCCTTTGTCACTCCACTGCTGGATGCCCCCCCCCATTCCTCTGGATGCACAGACAGGGACTCTGAGATTAATTCTATTTGTTGACGCGGGTGAGAAACATTGAGCCTTAAGCATGACCCGCGGGAGGGCCTTGGTAAAAAAAAATAAGGAAGTTCCAGCAAAAATTAAATCACAACGTTGCACACACTTGAGTGGCGAACTCATTGGAGAACATTGAGACCGTGCACCACCGGGCACTCGGGCGCATCATCGACACTTCAGCGCTCAGTCGCACCAGGCCCCGTTAGCCGCACGCGTTTGGGGGATGTCGCTTAGCGCGGGTCAGAAATTCAACGGCCACGTGGCGCGGGGGAGAGGGTTCGCTAACCACGTGTGCGAGTGAAGTGGGCGGGGGGGGGAAGAGATATTTAATTGAGGAAGGAAATGTTAAGAGGCTAGCAACACGAGATTACATCTCACCGTCGCCAGATTTCGCTGTGGGTGACATTAGGGAGAAGCGAGAGAAACGTTATGATGAGGTCTGGCCGACCCGCTCGAACTGGGCTCCTGTTAATAAAATAAATAAATAAACTTCATAGCCTCATCGGTTTCCTCCTCCAGTCTAAAATAACGATTCTGAGGCCACGGAGGTAATGATGAGCCGATCTGTCGGAGAAGGCGACAACTCTCGGGAGGACGTCCGCCGATGGGAGACGGAGCGATGTGAAATCGGCTCGCGTGCGGCTGCCTGCTTGCGTGGGATTCTCAGGAAGTAGTAGCTCTTCGGCGACCTGCGGGAGGGAGGGCCTCCTTCATCCAGCGGTGGATTGAACGTTAGTAGCCATGGTAACGCAGGTGGTTTCCGTGTCTCTCATTCACCATCCCCAGTCACAACACACGTGCCGCCGACCTGCACTGTATATTTTTTTGCCACAGGAAATATGGCCCCAGAAAGCGTAGGTTTCACATGAAGTATTATTAGCAGGGCCCACGTCGCAGTGACCAACGCGGCGATCCCACACAAAAAGCAACGTCAATTCAGATCGAGGTGACTGAATCACAAATAAATATGAATGGGTCGTTTTTGTTTTTATTAAAGCAAATTGCATCTCAAAACGCTTCACATTTTGACCCACTACACCACACACACACACCAACATCCTAAAATCCAAAACATGAACATCATTTTAAAAAAAGTGGTTAAGAATAAGTAGACCCACAGATAAGGCGAACGAGGCATGGACGAGGTGGGGCTACGTGAAACAGTAGACGTATACACTGTACATAAACACAGACCAACAGGCTGTTGTGGCAAGTGCTGATCGCACTAATGAAGGCACGGCACACGAGGGGGTGGGTGGCCAGCACCATGCCCGGCCGCCTTTGTCTTCCTCGTGGCGATCTTCACACATCGCACCAGGTACTCATTTGAGGCCGAGTTGACCTAGGGGAAATCCAAGATGTTGGCATGCCTGACCGTGAGTGGGAATCGAACTTGGGTAGCCGGGTTCGTAGCACAGCACGCTAACTGCTGCGCTACATACACAAACACACACACGTCCAGACGCACACAACAGCTGCGCCACCGCTCCCCACATAAATGCATATCACTACCATCACCATCAGAACTGTCATGGTAAACGCACTGGCTGGACGAAAACGTCCCTAGAACGCTGATATCTCTCGCCATCGTGCGATACGATATAATCCAGTTGCACCTCCGATTAGAACGATTGGCTTGGTACAGTGCCAAATAAGTTGAACATACAAAAGCTTCCAGCATGTGCTGCGAAATGTCGGACATCCTACCGGTTGTACAGGAGGCGGGACAGCCCAAATTAACACATTGTGGGAGAGAGATAAGGCAGCACAATCGCGCCAAATCCAGGACGTTAAAAGTATATTTTTTTATTTGACCAGGTAAGGCCCACTGAACATTACAGCTCTTTTTCAGAAGCGACCTGGCTATTAATAATATAGCTCAACGAAGTGCATTATCACGTGGCAATTTACAGCAGCCAAATATTCTAAACGCATGTTTCTAAATGTGGAGGGCAAAACTGGAGGACCTGGAGAAAAAATCCACGCGACCACGATTATAGACACACGTAAACTACAAATATACAGCAGGCGTCGGGGTCGAACACACGACCTCCTGTATACCAGACGAGGTAGTTAACATCTCGCTTCTGCATTGCCAGTGTTGCACAAGCACAGTCAACAACACCAAAAAACACACTCGAAACATTCCAGGTCAATTCATTTTCCATCATTTAAAACATATTTTGCACGTGCTGTGAAGGACCATTGTCCAAAACGTCGCCTATTATTAATGAATGTGTTGAGTGGTGTTTTTGTGGACATTTTAGGAGCAGAGTCAGACCAGGTGACTCACTTTTCTCTAGGTCAGTGGCCGGCAACCGAAATAATCTTCTTTGGTTCTTTCGGTAAAGTCACGTAGAATGAGAATAAAATAATAAATTGATAAACAGACAGCCTCGTCCCTTCACCTGATGAAGGCCGCTTGTGTTGTGGCCGAAACGTCGTGAGAATTTTATTGTGTTATTTTATTTTATCAATTTATTATTTTATTCTCATTCTACGTGAAAGAACCAAAGCAAATGAATCCTTGCAGTCACGAAAGCTTTAAATCGAAACCGAAATAATGTGTCATTTTTGTTGAATTTGGTAAAAAAAAACAAAAATTCTATATTCCAAAAGCCACAATGCATGTGAATACGAAGCAGTCCTTGAAGAGCCGCGTGCGGCTCCGGACCTGCAGGTTGCCGACCCCTGCCATGTGGCCATGCATTCGTAGGGTACGTGAGAAGATATTGACCGAGTATTGTATTGTAAAAACAAAGGTCATATGCCGTACATACACATCAGCGGGGAATGCATTGCAGGTTTCCCTCGCTATACGCGGGTTCGCTTTGGGCGATGTCGTGGAGATGCGGCTAATCTATTTCTACCAAAAAAAATCGCGTTTGAATCCACTCTCCATGCGGTTATGCGGTCGGCCGTGGAACAACATTGTGTGAACTGTGTGTGTGTGTCCTGTGTGTGTAGCCCGTGTACAATGTGTGCGCTACTCAGCAGGCTTCTGACCTCCTCGCGCGGTTTCGCTTTTTTGCGTCCTTTTGTTTTGAAACGCATCTACTACTCCTACCGCGAAACCAAGCGAGGGTAACCTGTATTCACCCTCTCAGCTTGGGTGACCACACGCGGTCATTGCGCTGTAACGTCCCGTTGGAATGAACGGAAATGAAGCGTTGCAGTGATAACTTAACAAAGAGAAGCCGCGTAATGGCTGGGCAGAGGTCGCGCGGGCATCGTTCGGCGAACATTCGCAGAGACGGCCGCGTAATCCGTTGGAAGGTCACGGATGCCCGGGGACACGCGAACACACCGGTCTCGAGTCGTGTGAACCACAGGGCAGGGGATATTGAAGGCGCTCCGGGATCAATACCGAGGCGACGCGGGCGGTGATTTTGTAAATCTGAACTTTTAGATAAAAAATATGGAAAAGTCGCACGTGAACGTGGCCTCGCGAGCTTGGCAGCGGCGGGCACTGTTGACGTGGAGGCTGTTGTCGAAGAGTGAAAAGTGCGCAAAAGCAGCAGGAAGTTTGAGACGCACGCGGGGAATGAGATTGAGGGACAGAAAGAGGACACGCGCGGGTTTATTACATCATCCAAACTATGAAGCGAGTGGCTGGTCACGAATAACAATAACAATAACCACGGCCACCTCGAAGTGACTGCCAAAGGATGGAACGCGCGACCGCCGTGGAGATGGAACGATGCGAAACCAGCCCGCAAGGGTCGTGAGAGGGCGGTGACGGCATGGGGAGGAGGTATTTCATCCAGCAGTGGATGGGTCATGGCTGACGACATTGACGGTATGCAACTGAGCGCAATGAAAACGTGAAATGGACGCAGAAGGCGACGAGAGTCACAATGGTGGCGCGACTCTCCGAGCCATTCCCTTTCACTTCCTCCAGACTCTCGCCATGCCCTCCCCCACAGCACCGTGGTACCCCCACGACTCCCCCCCAGCTGCAATCCCCTACATCTCCACCCAGCTCTCTCGGGAATCGACGAACTCGGGTCGCCGGGTTCGTAGCACATCGCGCTAAGCGCTCCACAATCGCTCCCCACAAACACTCTCCACCTCCACCACCCTACGGAAAACGCCTTTAACCACCACAGCCCGGTGTTGAACCTCGCGTGAGACGAGGGAGCCGGACTTTGATGCCTAAGCAGATGCAGCTGCAGCCATGTCTCCTCCCTCGGATGAATCGCGACTCGAGGATAGAAACCTCGGCGCCCCCCGCCCTCCCAGCTGCCCCCCCCCCCCCACGCCACCCTCCTTCGGCCAATGTTGTTCCTCTTAAAGCTGCGCGGGTTTAATTTTTTAAAAACATTCAAAGAGACACCGAACGTACTTCGTAAACCCACTGTACAGGGTGGTCCAAACCGAGTTAGCTCAGCGGGCATTACCTGGTCAAATACAATACAAAGAGTTTAGTTTTAAAAATAAAAGGCGACGTTTCGGGTAATGGCCCCTTCTTCATAGCACATAAACAGAGAGGCCGGTAGAGATACGCAGGGGGTGACATGAGCTGGAGGACTGCGCGTGTCTACACCGCGGGGCCTGATTAACCCGGGTCAGTA